ATTTTTTTTTTTTTTTTTTGGGGGGGGGGGGGGGGGGTCTGAGTGGAGGGATCTTAAGACGAGGGCGTCGGCCAATGTTCAAGGGCGGGGATTATTGCTATCAACCCGAAGCAGGCCCTCGAGACCGCTGGCTGAGATGGAGTCACCCAGTCCTACAGTCTTGAGTGGGACACGACACACCATGACCGGCACCAAAGCAAACTCCTATGGGACGGCCATCAACCATAGAACCCAAAGGATCACGGTGAGCGCCGGCTGGATGGGAAAAAAAAAAAAAAACACTTGCTGGGCAGCCTCCGGCTCTGCTGACTCACGTTCAGGCCTCGCTTCCAATGGTAAAAGCCCTCGTGGTAGGGGAACTGCACCTTGTCCGTCCAGCGACTGCGCGTCAGCCCCACCAGAGCCATGATTGCGATCAGCACGAGCGGCGCACGGCCATAGATGGTATTTGGCCGAGCAAGCCGGGGCGCGAATGGCGGTGCTGGCAGGATTGGGCAAAGCATCTGCACATACGAGTCTAGACGCGAGACGGCAAAGGACTCGGGCATGCGCAACTCGTGCTTCTGGGCCGACAACTGATTGTCCTGGCATGCCCGAACAGCACTCGTAAGGGTGCCGCGCACCGTAGAGCCCACCACTTGCTGATACACCCCTACAAAAACACAAAAAAAGGGTTCCCGTCCGCAGTCCGCCAATGAGGGCCAGAACAATGGGAACAGGCCAGGATAACAGGGTGCTGAGACCAAGCAGCTGAAGATGCACGCGCAGTAGTGACACAAGGCTGCCAGCGAGGCCAAGGTCTGGGACCTCCAAGCCATCGTACCAGCACGGGCGGCGGTAATATGATAGGTGAGGGAGTGAAAGTGAACGCGCGTCAAACGTGGGCGCTGCTGTAGGGTTTGGCGAAGGGGTGGCGTCAACAGCCACGACAAAATGTCGGCGACGACGGCCACATCGGGGATGTTGATGGGCTGATGGCCGTAGTCAGCGTGGGGCCCTGCACGTCAACACCAGCGGGTGCATGAGCCCGAGGCCGAGGCTGCTGGGTACCTTGATATGATCAGGCGAGTCAGAGGAAAAGACATGGTAGGGGCACACACCCTGCATGGCACTGGTCAGGGCCAAGAGCTCTTGCTCATTGAGCCCCAGGGAATCCACCACGGGTAGGATCTGTTGTGCAATGGCGCGCATCAGATCGGCATCGGCCAGACTGGCCAACTCCAGATGCACCAGGGCGGTGCGGGGCAGCTCGCGCAGCAAGCGCTGCAGTTCCTACTCGCAAAAAAAAAAAAAAAAAAAAAGATGGTCGTCATCAGTTGTGCGATCCAGCTTCAAAGACATGCATCACTGGGCCAGGGTTGAACAGGCAACTCAGGAACCTTGACGCTGAGACATGCGAGAAGACCCTGCCTACTGACCTGGAGGCGGGCAGCGATAAAGGAGGCATTTTGACCGTCAAGCATGTGGAGACCCGAGAGCACAATAACGTCGGCGCGAGCGGCATGCTCGTGGCACACCGCGGCAAGGCTGTGCAGCGTGCGCAGCTCAGCGTTGCTCATATCATTTGAGAAGATGAAGCGGTTGGCGCGGTCGGCCGTGTAGGCGCCCCACTGGTCGTGGTGCTTGTACTCGAGGATGAGGTGATACTCATCCTGAGCTTGGCGGGCCGCGAGGTCCACGATGAGGCGTGGGTGCAGGAGTTTGGCAAGGTCGGGGCCCACAGGACCGACGAGATGCACCTCGTGCTCGGCCGTCGGCCAGGGATAGACTAGCTCCTCCCGCGCAGGGCGCGTCGTCTGTTCGGCGAGGTACGAGGCCATGAGCGCGGCGTTGCCGCCAGCAAAGAGCACGTGACTGGGCACCTCCCGAGCCGCGGCCACCAAGAGTTGATATGGGCGATTTGTCAAGAAGGGCCGCTCAGCGGCCACGCCGTGATCAAAAAAGTGCGCAAAGGTTTCAGCCAGACCAGCTGTGTCCTTGAGAGCGGCAAGTTGGGCGGTTTGGGCTGGTGGGTCCACATGTGCCGCCTCGAAAAACTCGAGCGCAGGCACAATCACATCGACGGCAGCGTTGGTACCGACGATAAACTTGCGCGGCGTCACTTGAACCTGGCTAACCAGCTGCAAGGCCCGTGTGCGAAAGACCTCAAAGGGATCTGACCGTGGCGATCTGCAGATGAGCAGGGCCACGGCCACCGCCAGGCAGGCGGTCCACACGCTCGGGCGCATCTAAGGAGGATGGGTGCAGGGAGATATATCCAAAGGTTGTGAGTATGCGAGAAAGCCGACACTGATCCGCACCAGCGTGCACGTTCGCAAATCAAGATCAATCAGACAAGCCCATGTTATTGCCAAACAACAGCGCTCAAGCCCTACCGTGCTGAGCAGAGCCCGGGAGGCGGCGGAAGGCAAGAGGCAGGAGACAACCAGCAGCAGCAGCAGCAGCAGCAGCAGCAGCAGCAGCGGCGCTGGAGGCGTTCCAATAATGCTGACAATTAGATTATTCAATTTCCCAGAGTGTAATGTTATTATACTGATTGGAGTGTGTGTGTGTGTGTGTGTGTGAGTGTGTGTGTGTGTGTGTGTGGTAGATTCACCGGATGTGGTAACATTGCTCGTATTTCTCTTGTTTTGTGGCCTCGTGTCCTGAGAGAGTCAGTAAGTGATCGCGAGTGACCCGCCCCTGCCTCCTCCTCCTCCTCCTCCTCCTCCTCGTCGCTGTCTCGGTTGGAGTGCCCCCGTCCTCCTTTGCCGTGCCGGGCGCTGAGCACCTGTTTGTTGGCAAGTGGTGTGTCTACTGCATGTGGATGTGAATGTGTGCGCGCTCTATGGGGGTCAGATGGAGGGTGGGCCCACTGTCTGCCCGCTGCATTTTGCGTCTTTTTTTTCTGCGCTTGATTGATCCAGCTCACGGTGGTGGCACGCCTTTCCCCGCCGCGAACTCTGGCAACCGCATGGCTTTGCTCTCACCCCGATGTTGCCAATTTTTTTTGAATCACAGAATTATTTCACCTCGCCGCCCTTGTCTCTCTCCCATACCCCTGTCCTGCCCATCTTTGAGGTATTGCCCCGCCGCCATCGCCTCCATTTCTGCATTCTTCAACACCCAGCCACGACCTCGCCCTCAAAACATCAACACGCTGCGTTGGCCCATTCGATCAATCCAGCCAGACCCGTTGCCGTCTCGGGGCTAATTCCATCGAGTCTTGCACACATAGCCAAGCGCTTTCGTCCCCGGTGGCTCGCCAGCTCACCTTACCTTGTTTTGCTCTGCCGTCTGCCTTCAGCCCGACCTTCACCATGGCAGACGAAATGGAGGCCCCTCGCCTCGAGGATTGGGAGGTGCGGTGCAACGCCATCCCGCCTGTCTAAAACCCACCCCTTTTCCAGTGCCCTGTCTTTGTCAAACAAAGTGCACCGTGTTTTTTCTACCAACCTTTGGCTCACCTCGCCGCCGTCTTGCTCCGGCTTGGACCCATGCTCGTAGATCCTCCAAGCCAAGATCTTTACAAAGTGGTGCAACCAAAAGCTCATGTCCCGCCACTTTCCTACCATCTCCGACATTCGCACTGACCTGGGCAAGGACAACAACCTGTGCGTCATGCACACCTCCGGATGCCTCTTCGCTTAAGATGCCCACCCCCGCTTCAGAAACCCGACAAGCAATACTCATCCTCCTCTCGATCCATGCACTCCCCCCTTCCCCGCCGACTCAACCGCAGCGCCAATCTGATGTATGCCCTGACCGAGGCCGAGGTGCCAGAGGAAAAGACAAAGCCCCGCAAGATGCCCCTGGTCAAGGCTCAGGTCCTGGAGAACATTGACAAGAACCTCAAGATGGTGTGGGATGCTGGTGTCCAAATGAAGCTCAAGCCCAGTCCCGAAAACCTTTATGCAGGCGATTTCAAAGATGCGAGTCCTCCGCATGCCCGTGCCCTGGTTTTGTCAGACCTTGAACTTTTGTGTTTGCCCTCTCTCTGAAGCCCCCTTCTCATCCTGGCTTTCCCGGTCTTACAGGTCATGTCCCTGGTTTGGGCCATCATGATGCGCTTCATGCGCTTTGACGATGACGACGATGGCGAACAGCTCAGCGCCAAGGATGCCCTCCTTAAATGGCTGCAGTTTCACCTCAAAGACTACAGCCAGGTGTCCATCCAAAACCTCACAAAGTCGTTTCACGACGGCCTGGCCTTTTGCTGCCTCATTCACAAGTTCAAACCCAACGACATTGATGTGGCCAGCCTCGACCCCGCCAACAAGCAGGAAAACCTCCAACTGGCCATGGACAAGGTATCCCGCATCTGTCTCGGGTGTTTTTTGTTTTTTTTGTTTTTGTTTTTTTGTTTTTTTTTGATGCCGCTATGCGGCTTGTACTCGGCTCCCCACGCCACGCCCCGGTGCCTCCAGGTGTGCACGCCCAGCAGTCTTACTCACCCCTTGCACCCGCCTCCTTCCCTTCGTTTATTTCTTTCTCGTCTTCCCTTTCTACTCAGGCCGAGCAGCTGTTTGATATTGAAAAGTATCTGACACCAGCTGACATTCCCAAACTCAGCGACAAAGCCATGCTTGTGTACATTTCCGAGTACTACTACCAGATTAACGAGCAAGGTAGGTGGGCACCGTTTCTCAGACAAGCAACCTCCTTTGGTTTCGATCTGGGCTACAGCCCCACGCCACGCTCATGCTCTCGTGCCTGCGCCCCATGCATGCGCGTAGCCAAGCGCGATCTGGCCGCCAAGCGCATTGCCAAGCTGATCCGCTTCACCCGCGAGAACGATGCCGCCCGTGCCAAGTACATGGCCGATGGCGCCCAGCTCTTGCAGCATATTGAGCACGCCGAACAGCTCCTCGATGGCATTGACGTCATTACAAACACTATGGCCGGTACGCACCCACAACAGCTTTGCTAACAAGAGAATAGGGCCATCTCGCATGTTGAGTACAGGTCTGACATCCTTGCGCCACGCCTGTGATATACGTGAACCACGACACTCCAGGTGCCGTCAAGCATTTGGAAGACTTTGCCACATACAAGACTGCGGAGAAGAAAGCCATCACCTCCTTGCACCTTGAGATGGAGAATAACTTCAAGACCCTCGCGCTTCGCTTGAGCAACCACAACCGCCCGGCCTTCAAGCCCGCTGATGCACAGGTTAGAATCCCTTGAAAGGAACCGGTCGCGCCGGCATTCTCAAGGCTACCTTGCAGAGTCCGCAGAACCGATCCAGCACAGTATCTCATCTCGCGCGCTGGAATATGTAGCTGGAGCCCGAGGCGCTCAGCAAGCGCATTGCCGCCCTTCAGGCCAAGGAAGTGGTCGAGCCACTGCTGCACGCTGAGCACAATCGCCAGATCAAGCTCAAGCATCTTGATCAGCGCCACGATACCCAAGCCAGTGCGTAGCCCAAGCCTGGCTTAAAAAAAAATCATGATTCCCTCCGAGCGCCTCAAGTTTGATTTGTGGGATGCCACTGACCACCCCTTGATGAAAATGACCATCCACAGAGAAGCTCCGCGCCTGGATTGCCAGCAAGCAGACCTGGATCAGTGGCGACTTTCAAGTCAGCAGCAGCGGCCATGCACAGCAGCTGCTAGCCAACTTTGCTGCTTTTCAAAAGGAGAGCGCAACCATGCAATCGGGTGATCTGCAAGAGCTGATTGGCGTCGGCCGGACCCTGGAAAGCGAAAAGTACGAGCACATTGCGGCCGTGCAGGAGCGCGAGACCTCCCTTCGCACTGGATTTACCAACCTGGACCAAGCTGGCGAAGAAAAGAAACCCATCTTCGAAGACCACCTGCAACGCGAGGTTTGTCTGCGATCGATCGACCCCGGGCCCTTGTGTGCCGTTTGTCATAGTCACGAACCTCATGCTCTTGCATTTCACGCGTTCTGGTCTTGCCCCCGCTCCCCTTGATCATGCGCGTTATTTGCAGCTGTTCAAGGAAAAGACGGAGTTGGACGTCAAGGTGCACTCGGAGATTGCCAAGACGATCGAGGCCTTTGTCTCTGAGAAACTTGCTTACCTAGGCAAGAAGGAGCAAGTGCAATCAGTCAATGTACGCTTGAGCTCTTCTCAACACTCGCACTAGGGCGTGTCACGGGCACAAATAGCCCGTGCGGTGTTTGCTCAATGCATTTTCAGGCTCTGTCGACAAGTCACGCTATCCTCACATTTAACAACCCCCCCCTTCCCTTTTTTTTTTTTTTTCCTTGCCTGACTACCCTTCGGCCTGTCAGGACGCATATCAGCAGTTGAGCATTCTCGAAGCCTGCAAGCAGGAAATCGATGACAACGAAAGTGGTAATCAGCAGCGCCTCTGCGATCTGGGTGCCAGCATCCGAGGGGCAAAGTACGAGACACAGTACTCTTCATGGGTCTACGGTCAGCCCGCCGAGGTAAACCGCCGCCGCTGGAACCTGCTGTCACTCGGCGAGTCTAGACTGTAGCCCTGTCAGTGCCTCATCTTGCCACGCTGCTCCTTTGCAATCTTATACAGGTGGAAGGTTTGGAAAACAAGGCCAAGTCTAGCACCAACGAAATGCGTGCCAAGGCTGAAGCCAAACGGCTCGTTTTGGAGGACGACCTCGCCCGTGAACAGTTTCGCGAGAAGATTGAGCTCATGGCGGATCAACACACAAGCCAATACCAGTACCTTCAGTCGTGGGCTGGCGAAAAGCAGACGTACATTGACACCAAAGAGGCCATTGAGTCCTCCCAGGCTGCCAAATACCAGGTCGGGTGCCCTCTTTTCATCTTGGGTTGTCACGTGTCGTTGTCAAGCTGCAGACCTTCTCGCTCACCACCCCCTCGCTTTCTGCCCGTGCACGCGACCCCCATCAGCTGTCGCGCCTGGCCCTGTTCCGCAAAGAGCTGGACGACATGACCACCGGGGCCCTGCAATCACTCAAGGCCCTGGGACAGGAAGTCGTATCGGCCAACTATCAGACAGAATACTCAAGCTGGAAGTACGCCAAGCCCGATGAGGTGCAACAGCAAGAGGCGGCCCTCGATACGGCTTGGGCGGCCCTGCAGAAGGGACACGACAGCAAGGACGAGGTCTTGCGCGATGACCTGGAACGCATGCTGTACGCGGAGCACACTCGCCTGCTGGCCTCGCAACACGAGGACAAGTTCAACCTGTGCCAGTCCCACGCCGCGACCAAGAAGCAACAGCTCTCCGAGTCCATTGTGGTCAACAGCATTGCGGATGCCCAGCTCCTCTTGAGCCAGTTGGCCTCGCTTGACAAGGAGCGCGAGACACTCGCCGCCTCCGTCGTGGCCTCGCTGAAGAGCTTGGGCAGCAACATTCTCGGTCGCCAGTACCAAACTGCTCTCAGCTCGTACCAGTATGAGTCGCCCCAGGCCATCAAGGACCGCGAAACCTCTGTGGATCAGACTTACGCCGAACTCGTGCAACTCGTGTCCTCTCGCCGTGCAACCCTGGACGAGCTGCTAGCCAAGGAGGTGGGTGCCCGAAGGCATGCATGTCGAGTGGAAGCGGGGAGGGAAGGGTGGGAGGATGCAGTGCGACTTGCTTTGTCCATGGTCATATTTGTAGCTGTGCCTTGCTGTATTTCAAGCTTCTCGCTTTCCTAATTCTTTTGCTTTTCTCTTCGTTGCATCCCTCGTCTGAACAGCAACGCAAAGAGGAGCTGCGTTTGGAGTTTGCCAACCTGGCGGCCGACTTCTTGCGCTTCACGCAAGACAAGGTGCGAATCGGACACACCACTGCAAAGATTTGGATTGCCTTTTGCTCTGCTCACTCCTCTGGTTCACCTTTTGATGCATGGTGGTAATAGATTGACAGCATTGGCAGTGCTGAAGAACAGCGCACCTTCTTTGGCATCACCCTGGCCGACGTGGAGGCGTACCAGGCGACGCTGACGTCCGAGGACGAGGGCATCACCACAAGCGTTGAAGCCAAACAGACGGCTTACACTGGCATCAAGACTGAAATGGACGGCCTGGGCGTGACGGAAAATGTCTACACCTCAACCACGCCTGCAGACCTGGCGGCAGCCCGTGATCGCCTGACCGCTGCGCAAACCAGCCGGCGCGAGTTTTACGAGGCAGAGCTGGCCCGCCACCGGGACAACGATGCGGCTTGCCGGGCCTTTGCGGACGTCATTGGGCCTGCTGCCGCGGCGCTGAAGGAGGCCATGGTGCGCGCCCTGGACACGACCCCCAGCGAGGAGGAGCAGCTCAAGACCATCAACGAAGCCATGGCCAGCAAGGAAAGCCTGCAGCCGGACCTTGGGGCCCTGACGGCCATGGACAAGGACATTCGTGCGCGGGGCGTCGGCATCAACCCCCATACAGCTGTGTCGGTCGACGATGTGCAGTCGGCCTGGGACAACTACCAGCAGGTGTTGGCCCAACGCCAGCCCTACCTGGACAACGTTGTGCAATACAAGCGTTACCGCGGCATTGCCCCTGAGCAGTATGAGGAGATGGAGGCCATTTTCAAGACTTATGACAAGGACAACTCTGGCAACATCAACGAGAAGGAGATGCGCAGCTGCCTCTTTTCCCTTGGCGAGGAGCGTACCAAGAAAGAGGTGGCGCAATACATGCAAGAGTTTGGCACCAACGGCGTGCTGAACTTTGAGCCCTTCCGAGAGCTCATGATCCGCCTGCTTGGCGATGCGGGTACTGCGGATGGTGTCAAAGAGTCTTTCCAGCTCCTGGCCCAAGGCCTGCCCGAAATTCCGGTCAGTCTGGCGCTCGCTACTCGTTGGGGCTTTTCAAATTGCGTCTGTTTTCCCTGCTCTTCTTCTGTCCACTTCTTGTCATGCTCATACTCACCGTGGTGTGGATGGTTTTTGCTATAGGTCGCCAATCTGCAAAAGGTCCTCGAAGCCCAATACGTCGAGTATCTCCAAGCCAACGCGCAAATGGGAGAAGAGGGCCAAGGCCTTGATTACAAGTCGTGGATCGCAGACGTGTTCAGCCGCTAAGCTGGCTCTGCCAACCTTGATGTTGCTCTTTTAACACATGCAAAATTGGCCGAACATTGAATCATGTCGCACCCTTGACTGTTGTTTTCGTTCGTTTGCCCACTTTACCTTTTTGATATCTCATCTAGTGGGGCTTCTGACCAGTTGACTGTGCTAAATTCAAGATTTGACAACAATACGATGAGTAGAAAGACCAATTTGGCACGTACATGCATCCGGATACACATGAACATGTGAATATAAGTTCATTTTCTGTCGAATTTCTGATTTTGCCTGGTGAGTCGCGAAAGGAAGCACAAGCTCTTCAGGATTCAGATTAAACCAGGTGTGCCAGAGTCGTGAAACAATGCTGCTTCCCACTATTCGTTTGTAAAATAAGAGGGGCGGCATCATTCTGCAGGCATGCCCCGAGTATTGACATGAGAAATTGCGTGTCGCACATGACATGAAGATCAAATTCGCATGGATGTAGATTCAACTTTCATGGTCAGGAGTACGTTGAAAAATGATGCTGTGGCAAGCGCGCATATTTCCCTACAGACAACATCATCAGACCATTTGATGATATACTGCGACGCTCAATCACACCATCCGCGGGAAAACGCGCAGCCTGTGAACGAGGTCGTATGCAGTCATGGTAGGAAGGCGACCGTCAGTTGCTGTCATCTCAGATGGTCCACTTGAACTTTTATTGCACTTGATGTTGAAACTGAAACAAATGATCAGATTTCACAGATTCCGCACATCGATCAACTTGGAACGATCATCCCCAAACTCTCTTGGAGAGCCATGGCATGTTGATTGCCAGATTTGGGCATGGTGTACCGAGACAAACAAATTGCGCAGCAACAAGGAATGGCGCGCCAGTAGACGAAAAAACAGCAACAACGACAGCGACAATTCACGTGCATCCCCTTTGGGGCATGAACAAGCTAAAGACTCTCTACGCTATGAAAACTCGGGAAGAAATGCAGCTCGCGCGGGGGCTAAAAACACGGGCAAGAGCAAGGCGGGGGCGCATGGGGGTGCGAGCGCTCATGTTGAGGCTCGGCGACGACGGCATTGTTAGTCGTCGTAGAGCTTGGTGTCGACCTTTTTAGGCAGCCGGCGGCTGACGAGGTGACAGCTAACGCACATGATGGAGATCATGTACCAGCAGAAGGAGTAGTTGAGGGGCCAGCCCAGACCACTGCTGGCCGTCCAGGCATAAATGGCTCCCGCAGCCACGGGGCCGAGGCTGCGGGCGAGTGATGCGTAGGTTTGACCAATGCCGTTTTGTAGGCCTCGGTCCTTGCGAGCCACCGTGTTGTTGACCAGGGCAAAGGTGGCAGTAAAGGCCAGGGTGGAGCAGGTTTGCACGGTACCAAAGGCCAAGATGGCCACCATAACAATCTGAATGGCCGGGTTTCCGGCGCCATTGGCCGCTAAACCATTGGATGGCTCGCTGTCATGAATGGTCGCGTTGGGGGCTGGCGTGGATTCAGACCAGACAGTGTGAACAACACTGTCGTGGGGCATGAGGGCATGAATTTGAGGCACCAAAAGGCAGACAGAGGCGATAATGATGGTCATGATCCCGTAGAGACGGCGGTAGCCGAAGCGTTTGGAGAGGGGGGGAAAGACCATAAGCTGGGCCATGATTTGTGCTGGGGCAGCGCAAAGGATGACTGTGCCAATTTGCTGCAGGGAAAAAGCGAGGCCACCGTCCTCTGGTGGTGTAAGGGACCACAGCGGAAAAAGCTCCTGAGCAGCAATGTTGGCAAAAGCCAGGAGACCGTAGAGCAGGGTAGCAGGGCCGGCGTAACGATCCGTGATCAGCTCGAGCATGCCGCGCCGCGTTTTCTTCGTGTCCACATCATCATTATTGTTTAGCAACGGCTTGCTGGCTTCGGGCTTGGGTCGCACCTAGAGAGGGCGTAGGAGGTGGGGGCGGCAATGGGCAGATGGGATGGGCATGAGGGTCAAGTCACACGGCACGGAGGATTTGACATGGCCCGGGGTTTGTACCGTTTCTTCCAGATAGATATAGGCCAAGGCAAAGGATACGGCACACATCTGCAAGAGCCCAGGAGGGGGGATAGGGAGTGTGAGGTTGGCGCTCAAAGCAGCAAAAAAAAGGAGCCTGATGCAGCTTACCAAGGCACCGATACAGCAGGGCAAGAAGTAGGGATAGTGGCGCCAGAAGGGTGTATCAAACATGGGAAGCTGCAAGCGTGAGCGAGGTAAAAAAACTGAGAGTTGTGGATACAGCACGGGTGCAGCAAGAGCCACCCCTCAGGACAGGACCGGGGTGGTGGTGCAAGGTAAATGATTGGCGTCTGGCCACGACGTACGGTTTCGGCCGGGCGGCTGAAGAAGGCCCCAACGCCCGGCCCCAGGAGACGTCCGATGCCGGCACAGAGCCCGATGACGGAGTAGCCGCGGGCTTGGTTGCTCTCATCACAGACTGAGCATTGGCCAGGGGAATTAGAGTCAAGTCAGCATGTGGGTCCAAAATGCCCAAAGGGGGTGAAGCAAAGGGAAGAGCGTCGTGGTTCAGCGGTTGCATGGTTTGAGAAGGGTTGTCGGATGGGCACGAACCTTCGCTGAGGTAGGCCTTGGCGATACCGACATTGCCGTTGAGAAAGCCCCAGCAGAAGCGCATGGCCACAGCCATGTAGAAGGACTTGCTAAGACCAAAGAGAAGGATGGTGACAAAGGTGCCGCAAATTCCGAGAAGCATCATCGGGCGGCGGCCATAGCGGTCTAAGCGCAAGGCCGGGAGAGGAGCAAAAAATACAGGCGGGTCAGCAGGTGCAAGGCCACGTTGAGAGAGAGGGAAGGGGGCGAAGGAGGCGGGCATGAAAAGACGAACCAGATGCGGCGCCCCAGAGGACACTGCCAGAGAGAGCACCCATCTAATTGTCAAAGGCGCGCGTGCGCAAGAATGAGAGGTGGAGCGGCGGGGCGCGAGTTCAGTGTCAAGGCATTGGAGTCGGGGTGGGCGCGTTCAGGCCGAGCTGGGAAGCAAAGTGCAGTGGCAGTTGCCATGCTGGCGGACCACTCCGAACCGCCTCCAGGCGCGCTACCAGTGACATACTCCCCACAGCTCTCATTTCACCCATGGGGACGGGTCAGGCGGAGACACCAAGAAGAGCAGAATGCAGGTACGTACATGAAAGGCCCCGCCGAGAAACCCGGCGTAGCGGCCGAGCTGCGTCGCGTGCAGGTCTGGAAAAAAGTCGGCGGTCATAAAGGCCAAAAAGGGAAAGACCACGAGGGAGCTAAACTGGTTGGCCAACAACGCCGCCCCGACCGCCATGACCTTGGTCCAAGGCAACGGCGTCGGTGCCACTGCCATCTGCTCCACATCCCCACCCTTACCACTCCCCCCACGATACTCTTCCCTCTCCGATTCAGCCCGTCCCCTCCCCGACGTCGTCGAGCCCGTCAACTTTCTCGACTCCATCTCTCATGTGTGTGTGTGTCCGTGTGTGAGTTCTTAAAAGAACGCAAAAAATACAACACACACACACACACACACACACACACACACACACACACACACACACACACACACACACACACACACACACACACATGAGAGAGAGCGCTTACGCGTACATGACAAGGGGGTTGACAGTTACTCGCAGCATGTGTGTGTGTGTGTGTGTGTGTGAGGAAAGATGTCTGATTGGAAGAGATGACATCATTGTGTGTGTGTGTGTGTGTGTGTGTGTGTGTCACACATGTATGCACGGATGGAAGTATGAGAGCTTTCGAGCGTGAGAGAACTTGAGGGCAAGGGCTGGAGCGTCGAGAGCTTGAGAGCTTCGGCTTGAGAACTCAAGAGCTTGAGAGCTAGAGAACCTGAGAGCTAGAGAACTTGAGAGCTAGAGAACCCGAGAGTAGAGGGCTTGAGAGGTTGAAAGCTTGGGAGAGAATCGATACAGCGAGAGCAAGTGTGTGGGCAAAGAGAGCGCTTGAGAGAGAAGGTGAGCGAGAGAAATTGATTTGGCCGTGAGCGAACGCGAGAGCTTCAGAAGGCCGGTGAGTGAAGAGAGAGAGAGAGCTTGAGAAAACAATGCAAGTGTCTAAGCATGTTTGATGGCTCAAGGGGGGGGAGGGGGCGACTCTCACCACTCGGCAGAGCGGAGGCGCTGCCTCTTGGTCAGTGTCGGTCCAGTGCAGTTGTTGTCTGTATTTCCCAAGTGCGCCACTCAGGCTCGGACACTCGCTCTTCTGCGGTCCAGTGCCACAGAGCATGCGTCTTAACCTCTCTCCCCTTCCCCTTGTCATTCCCGTTGAACCTCTACTTGTGGCCGTGCTGTGCCGCTGCCCTTTCGAGCTCACGCTTGCGCAATACACGGCCGGCTTTGAACGGGATTAAAAGTATTTTACTTCGCAAATCTTGGGCGAAGTCGGTCAGGTTGTTGCTTGTTTTTGAATTTTGGCGGACAAGTGGCTTTTCTCAACCTCTGCGGGTTGGTGATCTAAACTGCTTCTCTCTGAGTTTTAAACCTTTCGAAGACAAATCTCTGATTACACCTTTCAAACAACACGATGAATTCTCGCCATTTGAGCCTTTCTCTGTACTTTGGCTCACTCTGAACACATCGCTCTGCTTTTAGTTCACTCTTTGTGCGCCCTCTCTGCTTTTGAAAATTACGATTTTTTTTCTGTTTTTCTTGTTGTCGGCGTTTTTTTTTTTTCGATCGAGACGCCCTGCGGCGCTTGGCGCAGAGGAGCCAGCGCCACGTACGCTCTGCCCATCGCACCCAGCCAGAGCTTGGGCCTCAACCAAGTTCCAGCTCTACATGATCTTTTCCCTTCTTTGCTGGTCCTCCCTCCCGTGCGCCTCACTGTCTTCGTCGTGACAACACACACACATTTGAAACGGCCGATTCTTCGCCGTCTGGCGCACGACTCGGTCGTCAGCGCTCATCGTGCCGCGCCGCAAACATGGAGAGCCCTCCACGTACACCACTGCGGACGATAAATGCAGATTCGCGCCACCCAACCCACAACACCAAAACCAAACTCCCGCCATCATCCCCCATGGCGGCCGCTGGGTCGGACCAACTCGACTTGTCCCTCCGCCTGCAGCGCGCCCTCCTCTCACCCCAGCCACTCCAGGCCCTGCGCCGGCAGCGACCCACAATGTCATCCTCCACCACCATGCCGTCCATTAACATTTCCGTGCTCGACGACAGTGCTTCTCGCGAGCCAGCTACCCTCCCAGCTCCTGCCACCCCCGTTGCCATGACCCCCTTTCCCCACAACTTCCTCCTCGACATGGCTGACGAAGACGGGCCAGACGAGCTGGACAACTGGCTCTCCCCCTTCAAATTCATCAAGGTGGCCACCGAAACCACGGTTGCGGCCAAAGTTCCACCCGCCAATAGCGCCTTCACCCTGGCCACCACGCCGCCTGCCAGCCATCCCGGAGGTCTCCGAGTGCCCAACGCCATTCCCTGGCTGACCCCCCAGCCGCAGCGTGGGCGCCACTATCACTCCTCTGCAGCCCGCCACGCCTGCAGCACGTCGCGCGGCCTCCGCAATCACCAACGGCGTCGACGCCAAGCAGTGGCCGTACCCCGCCTCGAGCTCCCAAGCCTCATCGAAGACGACGTGCCCACGACCACCGTCCCGGCCCGCGTCGCCTCCCACATGCTCTTTGTCGTCACTGCTGACGTCTGGGAACGCTGCACTGGCTCCCGTCCCGCCAACCCATTTGTCCTCTGCCGATGCCAATCTGCCCACGACACCAGCTTGACCCTCATCCCGCTACAAGCCACCTCCGATCAAACTCCCCACAGCGTTGCCGTCCCTCGTGCCGACGCCCTCACCCTCACGCAGTGGGCACGCAATCATGTCACCACCCGGCGACAGACGTCTTCAAACTTGCAGCCCAGGCCCTCCGAGGGCCCACAAGCCAACCGTGCCTTGCCCATCGCTGCGCCCTCTCACAACACGGATCCCTCAAAACCTCTCATCAAGCGTCGCCGCTTGCCCGCCCTGCCTGCCGCCCGTCACAAGCTGCCTTCCCGCGTGTCCAGGCCCGCTCAGTCCACCCGAATCATTGCCGTCGCCCCTCGGAACCCCCAAACGCCCGTGGCCACAGCAGCCCAGCGTCAGCGCCCCGGCTCGCCACGTCCTTATGAGGCCGGTCCCTCGACCGAGATTACGACTCCAACCCCGTCGGCCTCGCCAACCATCCAGCCCAATGAAGCCAAGGAGCTGCCACATTCAGCGCAGTGCCTAGGCCTGCGCCTCTCCGGTCGGCAACTGCAAGTACTACGCGAAATTGTGGCCACAGAACGTAGCTATCTCCATGAATTGGAGACCATCGTTCATCACTTTTACTACCAGCTCAAATCCCACAAAACCGTTCGCCAAGTCATGTCTGACGCAGATATGGCGACCGTCTTTGGTAACACGGAGATCCTGGCCCTGCACGCGCGCAACCTCGTCGCAGACTTTACCACATGGGAAGGGACGATCAAGAAGGACCTGACGAACGGCAACCTGGCTTCATCCCACGATTCTGACGCAGACGGGGGTCTATACATATCGTCGGCCCCGATCGCCCTCTCCTTACCAGGTAAGTTGATACGGGCTGCTTGGACAGGCCGCATGGCCTCTCGGATCGGCAGACCACGCCAATGAGCCAATTGCGTCTCGAGCCGCCCGTACTCTGGTGTCCCACTTGCTTCTCAATTTGCTTCGGCCGTTGCTCTTAGGCCTTTTACTGCGACACAACGAATATTTTAAAGCGCACGAGGCCTTTTGCAAGCAGCAGGCGGCCTCTGGCTCGGTGGTCTCTCGCTTGCGCGCGCGCCATGCCAGCCTTCATACGTTCTTGACCAAGCTCGAGATGGCTTCGGTTGTCAAGCCCGGCTTGCGTCTTCAGGATCTCATGCTTGTGCCCATGCAGCGGCTTAGCCGCTACCCACTACTGCTCGAAAAGCTCCTCAGCTACACGCCGGCGACTAGCAAGCTAGGCCCTTATGTGGAAGAGGCTCTGCGCCTGGCTCTGCAATACCTGCAGCACACCAACGAGGAAGCCCGTCTCGAGGCAGGAGATCGCAAAATCCAAGCCCTCGTGCAGCGGGTGCCCAGCTGCCCAGATCTTTGCAGCTGGTTGGAACGCATTGACACCCAGTATCTGGACGAATTTGCTGTGCGCATCAGTGCGGGCAAGCACCGACGCGTGCGGGGAGTCTGTTATCTCTTCTCCACAGCGCTGCTTCTCGCTCGTCCCGCACGGCCACTCTCGCTGCTGTCTGCCCGCCGCAGCTTTGGCAGCGCCAGTAGCCTGCTTTCGTCGCAGGCAGAGCTGCGACCCATCGTGCATCTCAGCCTGCAGCACGTGCTGCTTCTGCCGGCGAGCCTCAAGGCCAGTCACGTTCAGTGGGTGGACATGCAAACGGGCCACGAAGTAACCCTCGAAACGAATGATGAAATGGTGGCCAACAAGTTGCGTGCAACCCTCTCCGAAGCCTTGTCTACGCAGGGACGCTGGCGCCGTCGGCGCAATGGCGTCAGCCATGATGATGTGACGCCTCTCAGTGCCCTCCAGGCGCATCGGGCCGAGCTTGCTGCCCCGTCGCTGGCCGCTCGACAGTCGACGGAGGACATTGTGGCTTGGGCCACCCTGTCCCAAGCCCCATCCAGCCGGGCGACGGAGGAGAGCCCCAGCGTCACCCCAGCAAGTACTTGTGATCTTGTTTCGTCCGGTACTGCCTCAGCACCCGAGTTTACCACCCCACCTCCGTCGCGGAATGAAGCTCTTTTGCGATCACGGCGGAACAAGATCCCCACCCCTCGTGTGCGAACGCCGTTTCGGGAGAGCGGGGTGGCACCCCATCCTGCAAGCGTCAGCTCTCCGCTGAGTACGATCCTGACCGCAACCTCACAACTCGCGCCTGGCGTCTCACGGTCGTTGACACCGCCCCCAGTGGCTATGCGACAGCGTAGCATGGTGGTGTTGAGCCGACCGAGTGGCTCTGCGGGGAGTCGTCCACGTGCGCTTTCTGGCGTGTTCAAGAGTAAGAGCGCCGAAAACCTGACCACCAAGAGTGGTGGTTTTCAACAGTGTTTTGTCTAAAGGCAGGAGGAGCGTGGGCCCGCTCTGAATTTCATTTTAGAAGCCTCAAATTCTCTTTTTGTTTGTCGAGTCCCCATACGCCCGCGAACAGCAAGGGCAAACCAATGAGCACTCGCATTGTCATCAACGACACAGTGGTGCACCCATAAGGAGGCGCCTAGCTTTTCTTTTCTTTTCTTTTCTTTTCATTTTTTTTTTTTTTTTTTTTTTTTTTTTCACGATAACAAGAAGAAGAAGGGGGTGTTCACACCAAGAGGTTCAATTTATGCCACATGACAGGTAAGATTATGACCAAAAAGAAAAGAAGAAGAAAATGAAGCTTGGTCCACAGCGTTCAAGCATAAAAGTATGTCTAGATGTCACTCAGCTCGGACAGAGTCTCCTCGAGCTCGGCCTTGACCTTTTTGTACGCCTCGGTGGTCTTTTCGAGATCAGCTACAGCAAGGTTGCCAACGACAAGCAACGTGATGTGAGCGGAGGAAGAATTGCGTGCGCAAACATGCCAAGTCGAGCGATATGCTCAAAAAGACGAGCGGCGTACCTTCCATCTGGTCGTTCTCAATTTCAAGCTCCTTAACGCGGCGACGAGCCTCCTCGAGTTCACGGGAGAGGTTGTCGTGATCGCGCTTGAGCTCACGCATGCGCTCAGTGGAGCCTTCCTCGGCAATTTGGGCCTGTTCCTCACTAATTTCACGGCTGCGCAATTCGTTGGCAGTGGCGTCCAGCTCGCGTTCCAGCTCGCGAACCTTCTCCTCTGCAACCTCAGCACGCTCCTCGGCCTTTTCCAGGTCGTCCTCGGTGAGCTGCAGCTTGCGGGTAGCCTCGGCGTGAGAGCGCTCGACGTCATCAAACTGGCGCTTGAGGTCCTTGTACTTGTCCTCGAGAGCTTCGGCCTTGCCAAAGTCATTGTCCTGGGTAGCTTCAAGGCGCTGAAGCTTGCGCGAGGCATCCTCTGCCTCTTGTTCAGCATCCCGGAGACGTGTTTGCATCGACTGCAGGCGCTCTGTCAGCATCAAAAGGGCAGGAAAGTAGTGTGAGAGGCATAGGCTGGGGGATAGGGAAGAGGATTTAGGTGGAGGTACGCTTTGAAGATGAGGCCCGCACGGCCTCGGAGACAATTTGAGGCGTGGCTGCTTACCCTCAGCCTTGTCCAAATCATCTTCGGTCAGGGTCAGCTTGCGCTTGGCATCGTTGGCCTCGGCCTCGGCCTGCAAGCGAGCGTGCGGGCAAAACATCAGACGAGGCGCCAAAGTTCATGTTCAACGTGTCTTGGGTCACACGCGAGGAAGAGCAAAGAAGAGAAAAGAGCATTGGTAGGGGTCCGATTCCGAGGGTGGGGCAATGGATAAAACAATGTTTGGATGTGTGTTCGTGCTCACGACAAAGGCGGGAGGAGGACCAGAGCTGGGGGGGTGGGGGGGGGGTATCGATCGGTGGAACGACGAGCGAGTTCAAGGGAAACGTACGGCCGATGCGCGCTCGTTGGCAGCACGAAGCTTCTCCTCGAGTTGCTCGACCTTTTCGGCGTTGGCGTCGGCCTCCTCGCGCAACGCGAGCATCTTGGCCTTGATCTTTTCCATTGCCATCTTGATGGGTCTTTGTGTGTACGTAAGGAACGGCGGTTAGAGCAGGTTCAGTCTATCCGAAGGGGATGGGCCATCAGGGCCGTGGCCAAGTGAGATTTCAAGTGCAAAGGCGTCGCCGATGCGGGCAGGGTGGCCACTGGCCAGAGATACCACTGAACCAGGTCCAGCACCAAGCTCTTCTTGCCCGAAAGCACGAATTTGTGTTGATTTTTCCCTTTTGGCAGTGCTAGGGATCCACCCGTCACTGCAACCACAAACCCCCTTGTAGTGCTCGCTAGCTTTTGGTACCAGGACAGTCACGGGCATCCAGCACGACCCACGATGGCGGCGTTGTAGCCCCCTGCCTGACAGCGCTGACGTCGTGCCCCTCGCGCGCACACACACACACACACGCGCAACCGCCACTTACATGAACAGTAAATGAGAGAGAGAGCTTGAGAGCTTGAGAGAGAGCTTGAGAGCTTGAGAGAGAGAGAGAGAGAGAGAGAGAGAGTTTGAGAGTTTGAGAGAGAGTTTGCGAGAGAGAGTTTGCGAGAGAGAGTTTGCGAGAGAGAGTTTGCGAGAGAGAGTTTGCGAGAGAGAGTTTGAGAGAGAGACAAAGAGAGCTAGAGAGAGAAGCAGAGATTTTAATTTTATAGTCAGAGATGGAGAGGGATCGAGAGAGGATTTGAGAGGTGAGGGCGTGAAACAGAGATAAATAAAGAGTAAGGCAGAGAATTGAATCAAGTGTTACAAACGCAGTGGCAGCGTGGCAGAGAGGCAGCGGCAGGGACGCAGGGGTCGCCAGGGCAGCGGGGGAGGGCGACAGCGTGGGGTTGCCTTTGGCGGCCATGCGTCAACCAAACACGTCGTGGCACCTCGGCTGTTGTTTTGGAGTCGAGGTCGTCAGGTATGGCACATTCCTTTCGTGTTACAGCCTTGACGTGACTTGAATCGATCTCTCTACCGGGCAGTCACTTGAGCAGCTACCGCGAGGCTTCTCCCCCTCCCCTGTCCCAGCTGCTGTCCAGGGGCCTGTGCCCCACTGGGCTCTGGGACCATGGTCTTGTTGAGCCGAGGCTGCACTGCCATATCTTGATTGCACCGCCTGGTCTTCTCATCTGGCGCGCGCGCAAGCCCTTGACCACGGCCATGTCCGCTCCCTTTGCTCGCTTCCATAGCAAGCGCAACAGCCAAAAGGAGACCAACAACAGACACACCGCCGTGATGTACCCATAGTGGCTCATTCACAGCTACAAACGGCAGCGCCCCGCGCATCCATCAAAGCCCCAACAGCTGCACATCAACGTCGGGACCCAGCCGTCAGGGGAGCCAGGCCATGGCGCTGCCGTTTGAGCCGAGCGACTCGTAGGTTGCTGACAAGTTTGACAAGGTTGATCCCACCGCCCCCTGAAACATGAAAAGATTGAACCCTTCAAACCACCACCCAAACTATTCACAAATCGGCTGTCCCCGAGCCCGCCTAAAAAAAGGCCGATCCGCCCCAAATAGCTTTTATCTGACAACAATCTGACAATTCAGAATGTCAGAGAAAATTGGGTTCCGCAACCTCGTGCTCTCTCTCTCTCTCTCGTTTTTTCTCTCTCTCGCGTCTCGGCGCGCGCTCTCTCGCTCGCTGCACCACCACCACCACCACCTCCTCCTCCTCCTGTTCTTCCTCCTTCTCCTCCTCCTTCTCATCACGGCGCGTGTTGGTTGGTGGGTGGGTGGATGGAGATGGTCAGTCGAATGGCAATGGCATCGTTTGCTGCCAAGTCGCTGCGCATGCGTGCGCCAAGCGCGGGCCTGGTCACGCGGCTGCAACAGCATGCGCTGCGCCAGCCCGCGCGCGCCGCGGCAGGCCTCTCCCCGATGATTCTCAATACGACAGCACCGCTTGGGGTCCACCAGCGCAACCACGGCACAGCCCGCAAGCGCAAAGTTGCCGCAGATGGACCTGGATTTGAAGACTTTTTGCGACAGTCTTCCACCCCACTCGCAGACGACAAGGCCGACCCCGACAAGTATCGCCCGCGCGACGCGCCCTATGCCCCTATCGACGAGCAATCGCTTCTCGGCCGCAAGGTTCACATTGAGGCCTACGGCTGTCAAATGAACGTTAGCGATGCGGAAATTGCCTGGTCCATTCTCAAAAACGCCGGCTGTGTCCGTTGTGATACGGCGGAAGAGGTCCGTTGGTTGTCCAGGCCTACCCCGTGCACAGGCATGGCCTCTGATCATCTAAAATGGCTTCCTGACCACGGGTGGGTTTCAAGTGCTCAAACTGGCTTGCGTTGTGGATTATAGGCCGATGTCACGTTGCTCGTCACCTGCGCCATCCGTGAGAATGCAGAAAACAAAATCTGGTCTCGCCTCAACCAGCTCAAGGCGCACAAGCGTCGGCTTGGCCGAACTCGCAACTTTCAGATTGGCGTCTTGGGCTGCATGGCTGGTTGGTTTGCCTTGACGTCCCTAGTTGCTTCGTGTCCCTCCCTCCCTGCCGTTTGTCCTGCCCCCACACTCTCGTCCTGGTAACCTGTTGGTCCTTCTCTCGTCCTCCTGGCCTCATGTTGTTCTTGGCCGCATCAACTGATGGTGTCCGCCAGAGCGCCTCAAGCACAAGCTCTTGGAGCAGGAAAAAGCCATTGATCTGGTCGCTGGGCCCGATGCCTACCGTGATTTGCCCCGCATGCTCATGGACTCGGCTCAGGGTCAAGCGCAGGTGAGATCTTTGCTTCTCACCCAGCCCCTCCCCTCGGTTTCCTCGTGTAAGCGCTTCTCATCTCACCCGCACGCTCCCCATGCTTGTGCAACCACACTCTTCTTTTGTCGTTGCTGTCTGCCTGATCAGGTCAATGTTCTGCTCTCTCTGGATGAGACCTATGCCGACATTACCCCCGTGCGCACCAATCCCAACTCGCCGGCGGCCTTTGTGTCCATCCAGCGCGGTTGCGCCAACAACTGCTCGTACTGCATTGTTCCCTTTACGCGAGGGCGCGAGCGCAGCCGCCAGATTGAGACCATCGTTGAGGAAGTTGCTCATCTTAGCCGCCAGGGAGTCAAGGAAGTCACCCTTCTCGGCCAAAACGTCAACTCGTACCGCGATCTCACGGGCATTGACGATGTACGCAACGAGCCCGTCGTGAGCATGGCCAAGGGCTTTGGCACCATCTACAAGCCTCGTCGTGGAGGCCGCGGCTTTGGTGAGCTGCTCCGTGCTGTGGCCGAGGTTGATCCGACCATGCGCATCCGCTTTACATCGCCCCACCCCAAGGACTTTCCCGACGACGTTCTCGAGGCCATTGCTACCACCCCTAACATTTGCAAGCAAATTCACATCCCGGCTCAAAGTGGCAGCACCCGCATGCTCGAGCTGATGCGCCGCAAGTACGCGGGACCAACTGCTCTTTCTTCCTGTTTTTTTTTTTTTTTTTTTTTTTTTTTTTTTTTTTTTTTTCCCTTTTCTACTTTGCTGCACCTCATCGCACCTCGCCGGCCTGTGGTCGTAGTCACACTCGCGAAGCGTATCTTGATCTTGTGCAGCACATGCGTCAAGTGATTCCTGGTTTGTCGCTTCGCAGCCTGCTCCTGCCATCCCTGTAATTCTAGGCCACCCGCCCGTGTGGTTTGGGCATGGGCTCACATGGCTGGCTTGGTGACACGTGTTTTTGTTGTAGGTGTGGCACTGAGCAGCGACTTTATTGCGGGTTTCTGTGGTGAGACGGAGGCGGATCACGAGGATACGCGCAGTTTGATCGAGATGGTTGATTATGACATGGCCTTTCTCTTCGCCTACAGCATGCGTGCCAAGGTAAGACTGCAGTTACCGATGAGCCATGCGGAGGACCGTGGATATGTGTCAGGCTTTTGACGCGGCGCAATGGCGCGGTGTAGACGCATGCCTACCACCGGATGCAAGACGATGTTCCCGAGGACGTGAAGAAGCGTCGCCTGGAGGAGATTCGTGATCAATTCTATGGCGGAGCCACGCTCAAGAATCAGCGCCGGTGCGTACTGGGGCGGGCAGCAGCCGTGGGCGACTTGGATGCGTGACTGACCTGTTGAATCTTGTTTTCATTTCCGTTCCCAGAATCGGCTCGTTGCAATTGGTGCTCGTGGAGAAGCGCAGCCGTCGCAATCAGGACGAGTGGAGCGGTCGGACCGATGGCAACATTCGTGCCGTCTTCACCGACGCTGAGGTATGTGTTTGTGATTCTTGTTTGTGCGGGTTAAGGACAGCAACAACGTCGGGACAACATCAATCTTGGGCCTGATGGGATCTCAAGCGGCGAAAGGACTGCGTTGCCGTGCTCATCAACGTGATGATGACGTGTCTACTCGGCTTGCCTTACCATAGGTTCCAGATGTTCAGGGCTTGTTGCGCCGTGCCAACGTCGGCGAGTACGTGGTGGTACAGATCGAGGGTGCAACGGCCATGACGCTGCGCGGGCGACCCCTGGCCATTGTGGAGCAGCCCAATCTGAGCGTATTGGAGTCTTTCGGTACTGAGCTCGATGCGCGC